ACGCCTGGCCCCTTTCATCACTAAGACAACTAAGTTGCATCCAGTCAAGCCGTCCTGTAACGCAGAGGGCTCCCTTGCCTCCTGTGCTTCCCCGCCTGTGTCTGCACTCCGGTCATGAAAGCCATCCCACCACGTCTCGCTGAGGCCTACGATCTCATAGTCCTGAGCCTGGGCTAAAAATTCCCGTTCCCCCCTGCTTATTTCTCCTGACACGTGCATTTGTAGCGAGGCATTGAAGTTGGCCCCTGAATGAAATGGAGTGGCGTCGCTGCGGCCCAGCGATAGTTGCGGACGTCCATCTCAACACCAAAACCCACTGTTTCGCAGTGAGGGTGGACAAAGAATGGAAAGGATGGCCCCGAGAAGCTGTGGAGTTGTCATCCTCTGAGATACTGAAACCTGACTGCACTACGTCCCCACCGACCAGCTCAAGTGGATCTTGCTTCAGCAGGTGGCTCGGACTGGCAAGTCTCAACAGGTTCCTTCCAACCTCCACAGTTCTGCTACTCCGTGTTACTTCTGCTACTCTTTCTGCTCTGCTTGGTTAATTTTTCTCCTGCGCAACACACGCACACACAGACACGCAAAACCGACAAACAAACAAACAACATCAACAAAAAAAGACAAAACGAAGCAATCCACAGGCTGTGGAGCTGGGACCAGAAGCACTTTCATGCGGGTCTCTCCCAGGCACCGTTCCTGTTCCAGCCTTGCTCTTGCCTTCTCAACCCATAGGCTTGTGATTGTCCTGGGAAGAGATGGATTACGACGTTACTCGGCTTCCCCCGCGAAAGAGAAGTTGCTCCTTTCCAAGTAGCTCTGTCAAGCTCAGGCGTTTCTTCCTTGGACCAATTCTCCTCTTTGTGAAGGAGACGGTAAACGGACTCAGTGTCTTTCTCCCTCCCAAAACGGAGTGCGGGAGATAGCCTGCTTCACGCCTCCCGGCTTTCCGTGTGTGTCACGGGACAGCTGGCTGGGGCCCTTGTGGGGAAGGAGTTGGAAAGCTGGCTGCCTTGTGAATGGGTGGTAGTCCTTGAGCTGACTTTCTGGCTTGTTAGAAAAACGTTTCCTCCCCAAGTCGCCTGAGCCAGCATCGGTTCTTACTAACCCAGGAGGTTCTCATGTCCCTGTAGCAGTTGAAGCAGCCCAGGAACATTCCACAGAAAATGCGCTCTCCCTTCACCCTTTGCTGCGTGGCTCCTGAGTGGTGCCAGTGAGCAATGACTGTCCTTCCCAGAGAGCTCTCAGCATGAAATGATCTCATCTCCCTTGCGAGGAGTGGACTGCACTGCACTATCAAAGCCCAGAACTGCAGAGTCCCGCAGAGTTTTGCAAGGGGACGAAGTCCGTTGCGCACTGGGCTGTCGGGGGTTGGGGAAGGAGGAAGAATGAAAGGAGACTCGTTTCCAAAGCTGATGCTCAATGCCTTTAATGAGAAAAGGAGAAGAACAAGCGCCAGCTGAGAGTTTCAGCAATGCCCTTTGGACATTCTGAGTAAAGCTCAGTGATAGCAGAAGACCAGGGATAGTCAGCAGGGGAAAGAGGGCGGGCGATGAGGAGGAGAAGTTGGTGGGAACTCGGCTCCTCTGCAGACCGTGGCCATGCCCTCAGGGCTGGCTCCAGGGCTGCCTTCAAGGCTCGTGGTGCTCATGCACAGGCAGGTGATCCACGGGCTTTAGCAGAAGAGATTGCCACGTCCCAGAGTCCCACAGAGCCCACGGCCCAGCCCTGACCACCCAAAGCCCCCCAGGCCCAGGGAGCCCCCAGCACCGATGGGCACACTGCCAGCGCTGAGAGAGCTCCCCACGGCAGCGGACGCTGTGGATCCCACGGCTGTGCTCTGAGGGAAGGAGCTGAGGATTGGGCCCGGCAGCGTCACCACGACCGGTGGGGGCTGGATCGCAACGCTGGAGTCGGCACAACGAAGAACACACGGCTCGTTGCAGCTGTTGGCAAGCGGGGCTGGGCCGCAGGCGGCTGTCTGGCACGGGCTGTAGCACGACATGTCTGGCGGAGGAGGGGGTGACTCTGCAAGATGGAGGCGAGAGAGAGCTGAGGGCTCGAGCTGTCTCTCAGCGTGCTCTGGTGTCACGAGCCAAGAGTTGAAGGCCCTGCCGTGGCTGCTGAGGGGCTGTTTGTGAGTATTTGGGTAGGCTTGGGGTGGGTACTTGTGGGTAGTTTAGGGATGATGCCAGGGAGGGAAGCTCCGCCTGTCACTTGGGTGAAGCTCCTGTGCGACCTGTCTTGTCCCTCCCCCAGCGTGCCCAGTGCAGGCCCTCTCCAACCCGCGCTTGCTCCCTGACCAAGGGTCCGTGTCCAGCCTGCAAGGACGTTTCCCTCACAACGCACAGCCATCATTCTAGTCAGCCTCGAAGGCTGGCCTGGAACGTTCAGCTGTGAGATGAGGCTCCTCATCTCACCACATCCTGAGGTAGGTATGACGAAGAGGATGCCAACTCTTTCAGGGGGGATGAGTTTATCCTTGCTGCTATTGCCTCAGTCGGGGAAAGAAAGATGTTCTACGGTACAACAGAAAAGCATCGCTCTCAGCATCAATCTGTGGAGGTCCTGCTCGTGAGCCCTTCTTCCCTGCTGGTGGTTACTTGTTCTTCCAGAGGAAGACCTCAGCTTGTTCCCTCAACGGCTTTTCCCTCTAAAAAGAGCTCTCCTTCTCCTCTGACAGCTCCGCCCTTCTGTCCCCCTCACTCCCCCTGCTTCTTTCAGAAGGAGACAAGTGCGGGCAAAGCGCGACAAGGCTACTGAAGACAGAAGCCACCAAGTGCTAAGACGTCTCTGGTGGGACTAGCTCTCCTGAGGAAATTCCAAGCCGTGCTACTAAGGCAAAAGGTGCATCGCTGCCTGAAGGATGGTGGAAGAAGAGGCTGGCCGAGGCACTGGTTAGAAATTTCTGGCCGCACAGCCAGGGCCTCAAGCGGCTTTCAAAGGAACCCTCCAACGCCCCGCTTCAGGTGAAAAAGCCACGCTCCCCAGTTCCCTTCCCCAAATACAGACAGGCATGGTTGGCAGTCCCAGACCGCTTGCGGATGACAAGGCAGGAAAAATGCACACAGCCCCCTCCTTGGGAGGCGTTCTGACCACGAGCAGACAGAAGGCAAAGCGAACGCGGACTTACTGGCTTCACAGAGGAGAGCAAGGCCCAAGCAGGGAATAGAGTAGCTGGGAAACGAGGCACCTATTTATACTGAGCCTGATGGCCCCGAGGGAGCTGAAGTGGCAAAAACACAGAGCGCCTTCAGAAAGGGTAATTTTGGCTTCCCAAGCTCTGCTGGTAGATGAAAGACATTCCTCCTTCACCTGAAATGCTTAGCTCCCTTGTCACGCTGCGTAAGGCTGAAACGATCTGCTTGATAGCAGTTCTGTTTCTTCCTCAGGCCGATGCTCGTGAGAGGTCTCGTTGCCAGTGCTGGTGAAGACTTGCAGAAGAATCAGGCCGTGCGCAGGTGCGGTACACGTCCTCC